CCCCCCCCCAACGCTCCCCTCTGGCAGTTACTGGTTGTGATGGCCTGAGTTCTGTGGCTCTCCTTCCCTGTGCTGGTGCCTTCGGTACTTTGTCTCCAAGCCCAGCGGGTGCCTCCCTTACGGGGTGTGGGCTGTGGGGACAGCTGCTGGTGCTGACTAAAGACCGATGTAGGGTCGTCAGGCCCCAGCCAGGAGACCAGGAATTTGCATCCTGCCTGAGACCTCCTGGTTTATAACCTTAGCTTCAGCTTCTCCCGGCACTTTTTTTGTTTGTCTGTTTTTTTAAGCTTTGATCTGTCTTCGGCTCTTGAGGCATCTGTTTTCACTTCAAGTTTGGTCTTGTGGCCTCTGCCTCACACCTGGTCCCTCGCTTCCTGCCTGCCACCAGTCTGTCCAGCAGACGGTGACCATCGCTATGTCACCCTCTGCTCATAGCTCCTCAGCGGGTCTCAGGACAGCTGTGGGGCCACCTGTAGGCTCCCTGGCACGGCCCCACGGTCTCATGGCCTTCCTTTCCTGCCTGGCACCCCTGCAGGTGCCCCTGTGCACAGGCCTCCAGGATGCCACCGCGTGGTCACTACTTGTTCGTGTGTCTCCTTGATTAGCATGTGAGCTGTCATGACTGGGGGCTTTTCCCTCGTCCTTATCTCTATACCCCTGATCCCAGTGCAGCGCCATGCTTAGGCCACCAATGCCCAGCGGCTCATGATCCCTGACTGAGTGGATGCAAAGCCCAGAAAAGGTACCCGGGGAAGACCCTGCCCAGACATAAAACTCCTGCCAACACCAGCTCAGCTTTCGTGCACACAGGTGTCCCCTGGGGCTGGACTCGGGTCTGGGCAGGACCCAAGTGTTCGGGACCACGCTTCGAGTAATGTGGTTCTGAGGCTCGGGAAGGAAAGCAAGACATAGCAGTCTTGAGGTGTGTGCATCCTGTACCGCCTGCTCCCCCACGGCTTCTAACCGAGCCCCGGCCCTATTCTGGCTACAAAAATCAGGTCTCTGGTCCTGCCATTCTTCCCTTCCGTGTCTTCATCTGGTTAACTTCCGTGGTGAGAACCTAAGCTGTTCAGCTGCACGTAGAGATGAAGCACATCGTTGCTTATTCTTGGGTCTGCGTGTTTCATGCTCGTGTGCCTGGGTTCCTGCCGCTCCCGTTGAAGAGGTCTCCGGGGGCCCTGTGGCCGCTCCAGCAATGGCCATCCGGGCTGGAAGCGAGCGAGCCACTTCCTGGTGGCCCCAGGGCAGGGGGCTCTTGTGAGGGCCTTGTTCCTTCACCCTGAGAACAGGTCTGTGGGTGCGGCCGCTCCCTGAGTGCTCACACGTAAACACAGGTCCCTTCAGGAAGGTGAGGCGCAGTCTGTCTGGTGGGAATACATGTATGTGAGGGCGGGTGTAAGTGACTTCTGGAGCATGCTTGTCTCAGCCTGTGCTGTGGGCACCCCGTGGGACAGTCACTAGGTCCTGTTCCATCTGCAAGTCTGGGACACGGCTGACGCATGGTAGGGAGGAGCCCAAGGGAGACACACTCCCCGTGGTTGAGCTTCAGGAGGGACTCACGTCCACCTGCTCTATGAACATCAGAGTGTTCTCTTCTCTGACCCTGCAGCACAACACCATGGAGTCTCTGCTGGAGCGGGGGGAGAAACTAGATGACCTGGTGTCCAAGTCTGAAGTGCTGGGGACACAGTCTAAAGCCTTCTATAAAACGGTGAGCACTGGCCCTGGCTCTGGGCACCCCTCCCTCGGGCTCTATACCGCATGAGCCTTCGGGACGTTCAGTGACACGTGGGGAGAGCACAGGAGGTGGCCGAGGCCTGGCAGCAGCGGCAGGCAGGCTCATCAGGCGCCGCAGGAGGGTGGGTCTGCTCAGCTCCTGGTCCCGCCACTCGCAGAGCATATCGATGCTCAGTCTTCCCAAAGAGGCTCTTTTGCCTCCATTGTTTCCCTGCAACAGAGGTGCTTTGCTGTCTGGACGGCGGTGGGGCTGAGTTTACACATGGGCTTTCCTGTGAGGTTGGGAGGGGCCTGGCCTGTGGAGTCTGGGGGCAAGAGGGGATCTATCCGGTCCTCTGAAGACATTCTCGGTACCACCTCCACACGTGTTGTCCGATAGCACCTGGGGACACAGACTGGGCCAAAGTCAGACACTCAGGCTGCCTCACACGGCCTCGCTCTCCCTCCCCCTCACCGACTGAGGCCCGCCTCTCTGAGGTGCCCCCAGGTCCTCCAGCCGGCTCAGCAGTCCGATTCCTGGAGCCCCACGGGGCCCCCCGCCGCGTGTGCCTTAGTGGGGCTGCTGGCGGCCTCCATCCTCTCCAGCTCCTGTTTGTTTCTTTCAAGGCCCGGAAGCAGAACTCATGCTGTGCAGTAATGTGACAGCAGCGCGCAGAGGCCCCTGGGCCAAACGCCAGTCATTCGCATCAGAACCACAGTCCCTGGAGAAGCAGAGCCACCACGGGAAGACTCTGCACCCCTGGAGCCCTTGGCAGGGACCGAGGGGTCGCAGAACGGCCTGGGGGTGGGGAACATTCAAATTTACATGCCTGGTGATTTTTGGAAAGATGGTTTGAGGCCCCCAGGGATGTATTACTGGGCCAGATGAAACCATAAACTCTTGAGTGACTCACACGGATGCTGACGGGCTCGTCTCTCACCCCTGGGAAGACCCGTGGGCCCCTGACCTGGGTGAGGCCCCCAGCAGGTCGGAGCCAACCTTGTCGGGCCTTAGTCTGCCTTTGGGTTGTATCTGTGCCCGGATTGTTTTAACTCTGTAGTAAGCCGAGGGGAGGCCTGACTGCAGGGCTGGGGGCACAGACCTGGGGCTCGGATCTTGGGAAACCCACTGTGGGTGGGCATGAGGGGTCGGGGCGAGCAGGGTGTAGGCCAGTGCTTTGGGCCAAGGTCCACGGTGGGAGGTGACGGTCACCAGGCTTCACGGATTCTGGGGTACCTTTGCACTTCTGCTGAATTGACCTTTTGCTGAGGGCACTGCCTATCCATCACATTGCACGGAAATGCCTATGGGGGCGCAGGGCATGGGGGGTCATCTGCCCTGAACTTCAGATGGGCTCTGGCCACCAGGTCACAGCAGTATGTGTGGTCTCTTAACCCGTGTTCCTTTGCCTCGCTGGCAACAAGACTGTCCCAGCAACCACCTGGGGCCTGTGTGCCTTAGCAAGTGGCCTTTTCTATGGCTGCTGTTCCTGGGCACCAACACCAGGTACCAGCCATCCCGAGCCTCCCAATGCCCCATGGGTGTGGTCTGAGCCAGCGCCTCCCCAGCCCGACCCCCGCAGGAGCACTGCCTGAGAGCCCCCCCATCCAGAGGCACAAGCCCCCTCTGTGAGACCTGCCAGCCCCCTCAGGCCCTGCTGCCTCCCCCTGTCCTAAGTACTTCCAGAGGATGCCAGCTCACGATGCACCCTTGGGACCCACTCCCCACAAAGCCCTTCCTGGGGTGGTGTCAAACAAGATCCCGTCCCAGGGGGTCCTTCCCTGAGCTGGTTCTTGCCCTACCCAGGAGGTCCCACCCACTGCCCTGGCAGCAAGTGCCAGCCCCTGAATTCCCTTGCTTGGGCTAGAAGGTGGGACTTCATGGCTTCTTGACGACCCTGCCCTAATGGGTGTACCTGCCAGCTGCCCTTTTGGCTCTGGGCACTGCATCGGCCTCTAACATAGCCTGCCCTGTGCAACCCTGAGCGAGGTGCCAACCCACCTGCTGACTGGTGCCCAGGGTGCTCTGACTTCCCCTTAAGGACAGCGTGGTGTCTGACACCTCCAGCTTTGGAGGTGGCTGAGGAGGAGGGGGTGGGGGTGGGTGGGGCCGGCTCACACCTGTGCAGGCGAAGAGCACTTGGCAAAGTGTATTTTATAGTAACTGCTGCCTAACTGTTCTGTTTGAAAGGTTCTTATCTGGATAAACTTGTCTTCTGAAATTCCACAATAGTCCTCTGCTTTGTTCAAGCCTCAGGGGCCCCTTTCCTCGGGAAGCCGGGTGCAGGGTCCTGGGGCAGTTCCTGTCCTTAACCCCCAGGCCTAAGCTGTAACTCCCTTCACCTAGACCTGTCTAGCAGGAGACAGGGGAGGGGGGCCTGGAGCAGAGGCTAGCCCTGCCGGGACTCCTGGATTAGGGGGACTGGCCTGGGGGGTTGCCCTGCAGCCACAGCCAGGGCCACACACGTGGAAAGTCCTCAGGAGCTGGAGGCGGGCTCTGCAGGCGTGGGGGGCGTCTGGTGCCTCCCTGGGCGCTTGTGGGCCCAGGAGCCTCAAGTCTGGTCCCAGGTTAGGGAATGACCTCAGTGGCTGGTGGTTAGAGGGTCTGAGGATTGTGCAGCCTTGTTTCATTGGTGGCCCTGAGCCTTGCCTTCAGTCTCACTTGTGATTGTGGAAATGAGAAGTGGCCTTGGGTTTTGGGGCTGGACTGAGGGCATCAGCTTCTGCTTGCAGGACCTGCTGGGTCACAAGGTCTCCCTGAGGCCCAAGGAGCCTTGACCAAAGCAGGTACCATTTAAAAGTGATGAACCCAAGACTGTCTCACTGACCTCGCTTTGTAGTTCCCTGCCCACCCCATATGGGGCGCCCAGCCTGCTGGTCCTGCTCCGCACCCCAGGGCTCAGGGTCCTCAGGGCTGGGCAGGGCCGTGTGAGTGCCCCCAGGGAGGCCTGGCCTGGAAAGCCTCCTCGGATTACAGCTGATAGGTGAGTGGAGCCCTAGATACCAAGTCGGGGACTGACTGCCGCTCGCTCCGGCGCCGTGTCCTAGATTCTCTGAGCCCCACTCTTGGAGCCTCTGTGTGTTCTCTGGCACAAACCTTCCTCCTGAGAACACCTGCCGGGCACCAGGAGCTGAAGTCAAGGGCCTCCTGTCCTAGTGGGCAGGTCTGGGGTAGCCAGAGGGGACCCCCTGGGGCGTCCTTCTTACCAGAAGACACACGAGTGGGGAATGTTTGGTGTCCAGAATTGTTGTGAGGCCCACATTTCTGTCCCAGAGAAGCATGAGGCATACAGTACAGACAGGCATTGGCAGAGCCTGGAGACATGGTGTGGAGGGGGGACTGCCCACGTTCGTTTGAGGGTGCACGTGGGCTCCAGCAGGCTGCGCGGGGTCTGTCTGGGAGGGCAGAGGGCCAGGAGGCCTGCAGCAGAACCAGTGGAGCACAGACCACAGCAGCCCCAGCCTGCCTGAGCCCAAGCGCATGTGGCCACGCGCTGCTCAGGTGTCCTCAGGCCATGTGGCCATGTGGTCCTGCTGCCTTGTGCTCAATGCTTACTCAGCCAGCAAGGGCCGAGGGTGGGCGTTCCTGGGGGAGGCCCCACATGGCTTTGCATCCTCACACCACAGGGGAATGGTGGGCAGCTGGTGACGTGTCCCTCCTGAGTGACAGGCCGGGGTCACAGATGATGGGGTAGAGCCCTCCAAGAAGAGCGGGAGTCGGGGGAGGGCACAGGGAAAGGGAAGGAGGGCCCTGGGATAAAGCCCCCAGCTGCAAGTGAAGCCATTGGTCCTGTTTTTCTTTTATTTGCAGTTTCCCGAGACAGAACAAAATAATGATTTTTTTACACTTACAAGGCTCAGAAAGAAAAGACAATGAAACTCAGCAAAAGAGAGAAGAGGAAGGGCCGGCCGGCACTGCGGGCAGCCGGCCCTCCACAGAGCGGGCCGGCCGATGCCACCACACCTCGGACGCCTAGCTAGAGGAGCAGGTGTGGCTTGCTCGAAAGGGGTCATGCAAAAGAACTATCCCCCAGAAAAAATCCCCAAATTATCCCAGACAGGCAGCTCCGTGGAGATGACAGGTGAAGGGAGAAGGGAGGAAGCCCCCAGAGGGGAGGATGGCCGGGCCCCACGCTGTCCACGGCGAGCACTGCCGCTGCCTGAGGCCCAGGGAGCCCGGCGGATGTTTACCCTGTGTCCATGGGTGGGGACAGCTGTCCTGAGCACAGCCGTGGACGGGCAGGTGAGTGTCCATTCTGAGTGTCGCTCCCCACTCTGTGCCCCTCCCTTGGCTTGATTTGTGGGGGAAGATAAAGAAAACCCTTGTTGAAAATGTGAATTAAGGGGGTAGGTGTTGGGGCGCCAGGTCCTGCGTCTCTTCCATCACAGCCCCTGACCCGGCCGGCTGCCCCGGGACCCCGGTACTGCCACCTTACCACGTGGCCCGAGCCCGAGCTGCACTTCAGTGCCCACCAGCACGAGGGGCTCCTCAAGATAGGCCCAGCCCGTGCTCTCCTCATCCCTGGGTCCCCATCACACACACGGCATCCTCCCTCAAGAGGCCTGGCCGGGGGTTCACCGTGCCCTGCCCCTTGGGCCCAGGGCGGCCCTCCCTCCCTCTCTCCCTCCCTCGGCTCCAGACCCAGACTCCAAAAGCACTGCCTGGAAACATCTGCCTGGACCAGTCTCGGCCTGGGAGCCCAGAGAGCCATGCACCTGCCTTCTGACCCCTCTCCCCTTCCTGCCTCTTGACCAAGTCCAGAGCCCCTCGTGGACGTGCCAGCAGGGGGAAGGTTGGCAGAGGAAGAGGTGACCCTGAATGGGAGGGAGGCCAACCCAGGGGCTCCCCTCCCGACAGGGCTGCAGCCAACAGTGTCCTCTCCAGAAGTCTGCCAGGCGTGAGGTCTGACATTAAGGGGTGCCTCCCCCCCACCAAACCTCCTCGGCCCTGGAGGAACCAGAACTGGAGCCTTGGGCCTGAGGGGGCTTCTTGGATGGCTTGTCGGGCGCCCGGGGGCCGGCCCGGCCTCTGCACTGCTCATCCATGCTGGGGGCATGAGAGGAAAGGAGGGGGACAGCCGTGCTCAGGTTCCCTGGGCCCCAGGTGGCCGACACTCCTGACAGCAGCCATGCACGGCAGGGATTGCAGACACCTGGGGAGGGGCGTCACCTAACACACACCGTTCCTCGGCCCGGCACCTGTGGACACGTTCACTGCCCCATGGTCCCCAGGGGCCAGGAGCGGACAGACACATGGAGCGTGGGTGGGGGGGTGCCCGTCGGTCCGAAGCCCCACAAATGCCAGTGATTTTTACAGCTTTTTCCTTTTTTTTTTTTTTTCCCGTTTCATCCAACATCAATTGTTTCTGTGGTTGTTGTCTTGTTGTTAAAAAGAAATCACATCCGGTCTTGGTTTTCTGCAGACACAGGCACCAGGGGAGGAACGAGGCAGACACAAACATGCGACAGGCAGGCCACCTTGGCGGCCGGGCTCCAAACACCGAGTCTGTCCCGCGACGCCGGCCGCGGCTCTGAAAGGGGACGAGAGTGGGTGGTCAGCCCTGCCCCCGGGGGGGCATGCCCCACCCCCTCGCCCGCAAGGCCAACGCCAGGGACACCCACCTTCACTGCAGCGGGGCCACGGGCGCGCCCGAGCAGTGGAAGTGCACGTTCTGCCACTTGCCGTCACGGCGATGCCACACGCGTGTCTCCTCGGACTGGCTGGTGCGGGGCCGGCCCTGCCCGTCGATGTACTGCGTGAGGCGGATGTAGGCGATGCATGCAGCGTCCTCCCCGATGACGTGCACGTGCGGGTTCAGTATGGTCGTGTGGATGGGCTTGCTGTTCTTGGCGAGCACTACGGCAGGGGGCGGGGACGGGGGGGTGCCGCTGGGCTCGGCGCCCTGTGCGCCCCGCCCACCTCCCCGTATCTGCCCCACCCGCATCCCTACCACAACGCCCCGCCCAAGGCCTTGTTTCCGCCCGCGCCCCGCCCACCGCCC